AGGGTACACGTGGTATCACCACAAGGTCAAGCGAAGGTGAAGTTAAACAAACATTTCTCAGTAGCCTAGGATGAGCGTCCCATCCTTCTGCTTACAGGATACAGAATTCTCAGAAGTCAACCTTCTTGCTTGCCTTCCTGTTTCTATCTCCGCACCTACTGGGTACCGGCTCTGACATTAGCTGCTGCGGGAAGGGCTGAGCTCAGAAGTCCTCGCTGTAGCACTGTGAGGACCGGGTTTGTGGGTGTGTTGCATGCTTCACACTGACGCAGGTTTGTAGCATTTTTACAAAAACTGGTCTCTGCCTCCCTAAGAACCAGAGAAACCATTGGTTTTGTTGTTTTTTTTTTTCCTAAGCATTGCAATAGTCAACAGCGCCAAGGTGTGAAGTGCCTATTAAAGCGACAGTTTGGAAACTGTCGTCACTGCTTACTAGTGATTTTAATCTCCTTGTTAGGGCACGGGTCAGGGACGAGGGTGTCTCTCTATGTTCCCTGCAAACATGGGAGTGATCCGATGCTATCATCCGACTGCTTTCAAGAGACACGGCATCTCTAGCGTGGATCTAGGCTAGATGCCTGCATGCCTGGCTTCCTGCTGAGATCTACAGCAAAGAATGCACTAACAACTGGACAGGAAACCAGACCCCTTGCATAGACTCAGTCTTGATAGATCTACTTAGATACAAGGTTCCCAACCTTGAACTACTGCCATTTGGAACCAGATGATTCTCCCTTGAGTAGAATTCCCCTGCCCGATGGAGGCTGCTTAGTCCTTCTCTCCTTCCTCTTCCTAGATGCCAGCAGCAATCCTCCTAATATTAAAAATAATGTCCCCAGACATTCTTGTTTGACAATCATCTCAGGAGTGGGGCACCAGAGTCAGTCAAAGGATCTGAAATGGGTTTCTAGTTATTAAAAAAAAAATCACATTTTAGGGCTGGTGAGATGGCTCAGTGGCAGGATGCTTGTCGTGCAACCATGATACCCCAGTTCAGTTCTCATAGTGGAGGCAGAGAACTGACTACTGAAATTTCTCTTCTGACCTCCACACGCAAACAGGGACCACATCTCACACTCAAAGTCACATACAGGCCACACACACATACACACAACAGGAATGAATGAAAGAAATGTTTAAATCATATTTTAGATTCTTGTTTGTTTGTTTTGTTTTTCTAGACAGGGTTTCTCTGTGTAACAGTCCTGGCTGTCCTGGAACTAGCTCTTGCAGACCAGGCTGACCTCGAACTCACAGAGATCCACTTGCCTCTGCCTCCTGAGTGCTGGGATTAAAGGTGTGCGCCACCACTGCCTGGCTTCATTTTATAATTTCTTTAGACTAAAGGCCAGGGTGGTTTGAGTAGACCACTCAAGGCTCCTATCCCAGTCTTTAAGAGCACCAGTCTGGTTTTGAAAGTTCCTGACTTATCTGAAAGGAGGGGTGTTTTCTAGTCTCAATAATCAACAAAATCCTGTCTGAGTGGTAAACTAAGTAATGACCATGGTTCGAATAATATTTGGGTTATTCTAGAACATATCACTGATTGATAGTGAAAAGAAAATCAATTTCCTAACATTTTTGTTCTAATGTCATCAAAGTGCTGACTGCTTTGGGCCATTCAACTCTCTCTGTCACTGATGAAAAGGACACCGGTGTTTCATACTATGCCGTAAGGGTACAGTAGAAGAGATTCTGTGTCTGAATGGTTGAACAAGTCAAAGGGCTCCTTTCCACGTCTCTCCCCTTCTCTCCCTGCCCACTCAGCAAACAGGCATGTGCATACCTTTGTGACCTTTATTAATCTAGATATTTACCTTCTCTGAGCTATCAACTGTACTTTGATTTCTTTGGTTCATTTGTCTGTTTTGGAGGGTGTTTGTGTGTATTTTCTTTGGGACAAAGACTCCAAGTGGAGCCTAGGCTGATCTCAAATGCAGGATGGTGTAGCCCTCCTCAGTTTGCAGGCGCTGCCATGGCTGTCTAAAGGAGTCAGGAATCTCTTCAAACCACTCTTCAGACAGAAGCGAAGCTTGTGAGACAGTGTACTTTTCTTCCCCCAGGGGTATTCTTGGAGCAGAATCTAAAACCACCAACAGAAAGGGGCATTTAACATTTAAACACATACTTATTAAAGGCAGCTGAATACATTTTAGTATGAGCATTTTAAGGTCAAATGTATGTAGTACATTCTCAATTACTTCCAAGGGAGAGGGGAAACAGTTCTCAAAGACACACACGTTCTAACATTTTATGTATATACATACATACATACATACATACACACACACACACAACTCATTCAGGCCTTTCAAAAGCAAAAAAAGTCCTGTCATAAAAATCTTAGCTCATCCACACCTGTCAACCCCTTAGTGCAGTTTGAAGTGTTCAGCAAATACAAGTCTCTGTTGTAAGGAGAATTATTCCTTAATTTTAAACATTACAATAACTTTCTTGACAATCCATAACCCAACTTATCTGTGGAAGTTTCGGTGGCCCCAACATGGCTGTCCTTTATCAGTCAAACGAGTCTTCCTCCTTAGGCACCTCACATCTCTGCGGATTCTGTTCAGGCGAAGCAGGAAGATTCTTTAACTATGTCGTTTTGTTTTCTGACTTAGTTTCAAAGGTCTCCTGAGTATTTCTGTCTGTAAAGTCCTGACCCTAACTAAGAAATCCCAGAATCTGCACATGGAGTTGAACTTGATCGTATTCTTGACTCTGGATTGAGATAATTGGCCCCAGATGACAACTTCCTCAAACACAAGACATCTCCCCCTTTATACTCAAATTTCTGTAGGACTTATGATGACAATTTATATAATACATGAAACAGAACTGCAAGTTTTCTCTTAAAAATGTTCATTATGAACCTAATAGAAACAGATCCTTTGTAGAAATAACAGCTGATTTATTTGATAGCTTGTCAAGCTTAAATTTATGTATCAAATCCAATAGGCTAGAGGGTGTCCAAATATTTGGCCAGACCGTATTCTGGATGTTTAAGGATGAAATTAATATCAAATCCAGTATGCTAAGTAGACAGACCTCCACAATGTGTATGCTTTACACTGTTAGAATCTGAACCAGAGCCAAAGGCTGGTGTTGCCTCGGGAATCAACGTTTGGGTTAGAATGTCTGCCCTTCCGTGGCGTGGTAGGTAGCCTGACAGCCTTTGGACCTGAAGTGGGATGCCTGCCAGTCTCCACACTGACAGGATAAGCCAACCCATTATAAAATCTCTCCCTTTCTCCTGCAAACATGGATGGTATAGATTTAACATACATGTGTTAATAACAGCTACAGAGTCATCTCTAAGCATGGTTAAGCCAGTGAGCTAGCCCAGCAGCAGAAGATGGAACACCAGAATGTAACATTACCCATAGCTTCTCAGATCAGGCCAGGCTACTGCTCTTAGTCTAGGAGGAAAAACAGCACATAGGTCTAAGGGTCCACAGGGGTAGAGGTGGACCCAAGTCTTTTGATATACGAAGCTTAGACAATGAGAGTGTACATTTAAGGAAACAAATATGAAATCACAAAAATATCAAAACTGTAATACACATAAAAACACTATTAAGGGAGTTTTCATGGTCTAGCCTAGGGTACCTGCTAGTGGTGTTGCTCCTTTTAGGTTCTGTTCACTGCAAGGTAAATCTGCTTCTTGGAAAACTCAACCCAATGGACTACACGACTTACGGCTTGCCACGCTGTGGGGTGTTGGGGCAGAGAGGAAAACAGAAGGTGGTGACAGCTGCTGATACATTTTGACTAACTTTGGAAAGTCTTTGCAGACTTCAACAAAGTAACAAATGCCCTCCTGAAATGAAACTAGTGAAAGTGATAAACACAATTTTTTACAAAGAAAAAAAATGCCTATAACAAATAGAGTATGGTTGGTAGAAAGAAATGGATTGAAGGTTTTTTCTTTTTTACTTCATTTGGCTAATTAATATTATTAAGTAATTAGAGTTAGGATATTGTGACAACATATATATATTATATATATATTATATATATAATATATATTATATATATTATATATATATATGTGTGTGTAGATGATATCAAAGCTGCTTCTTACAGTGGAAACAGAGATTAAAATGAGATCACTTTCAAGTTGTTCAAATGTAACTATTTGCACTGTGAGGTGTTAAATGTGAACTGTGGAATGGCAAAAGCCAGTTTCCAATCATTGCAATTCAGAAAATGGGTTGGTTTTCTAGAAATTCCTGGGGCTAATAAATATGTTTATTCAAATGCAAAAATCCTTTAAAGTTTGGCTACTTGAAGCCACCAGTTGACTTTGTTTAAAAGTTACTATATGTCTTTCACTAAGCATCAAGCTTCTATGCAATTGTGTGTGTGTGTATGTGTGCGTGTGTGTGTGTGCATGTGTGTGTGTGCATGTGTGTGTGTGTGTTTAATTCAGGTTGCTGAGCACAATGGTGGTGGGAAAATATTTATTTTGCTCTTTTCTATGGCACTATCACTTCTTACTAGTTCTGTGTCTTCATTTCAATGTCAGAGTCTTAGTTTGTGACCAAAGAACTCATAAATACTACAGTCATTATGGCCCCTGAATGACCGCCTTTCAAAGATGTGGCTTCCTGGGACAAACAAAAATGAGGACATGATTTATCCCAATGAAACTAGTTCTGCGTGGTTGTTTTTACAAAATGGAAGACTAGAGGAGCCCCATTCTCACTGTTACTGGCCAGTGAGACATCTACAGAAATCAAGGGCCATTAAGTCCTACCTCCCTCAGGGAGACGTAAAACTGACTAGCGCTAAACTGAAGAAAGAGCCATTGTTGGCACATGGCATGTATCTTTGTCATAAACCTTGTATGGAAGAACCCAAACTCTGGAAAGCGGCCAGGCAGGTCTCTGAATTCTGTATTACCATTCAGGTGTTCTTTTAACTTGCTCAGCATCACGGAAACCTTTGGGAGAAGATCAAGTGTGCAGGGTGGGAATCCCAAGAAGTGGGAAGGAACATACAAATGAAATGGATGGTGCAGCAACCAGGCCAACAGTGCAAGAATTCCATTAGAATCGTTCTCTCTTCAGGACCACTGCTGTAAGCCACCAGCTGGACCCAGTCCTCCAGACGCACAGATGCACCAGGCTTGGAAAGCAACGGACTTGTTCATATGCTCTAGGTGTGTCTGTGTGTGTGCATTCATGTGCGACAGACTCTGACTAGTCACTGTGGTTATAGTCTATAAAATATCTACAAATACTAAGTCAGCAAACGTTGAAGTGTTGCTTCTAAAGAGAAATACCGGCTTAGGTCCCTGATAGCCTCTAGTTGAGGTATTGTGTTAATCCATCTGTGTATAACCTTGTTTTACATTGCTGTCTCTAAAGACTCCTTACGGCAGCTCTGAGACTAATGCCTGAATGAAGTTTGGCTAATCTAGCAAATCCATTTTTTTTTCTCTCCAAGGTACACCATAGCTTTCTTGGGCTTTGGAATACCAGGCAACACCAGCACTGTGCTTAGAGACATTTTAATGTTTAAATATTAAAGAATATAGAGAAGTGCAGCCAAAAAAACGTGGCATCAAATAAGTTGTGTGTGCTGTGTAAAGGTCATGTGTTGATCCGTGAGACCTAAAACAGCAAAGCAGTGTATGTGCTTGTTGGACGTAAGTTGGGAGCACATGTAACATGCAATTCAAATTTGCCAGCCCCCTGCACATGTATGTGAGTAACTGCAGAGCCAATGTGATGCTGATTGGGGCAGTTACAAATAAACCTTCACAATTAGATCTATCTACAAACAATGAGGTCAGCTGCGTCTTCTGCACAAATGAATGAGTGTCATTGTAGGGAATCAATAGTTTGCTTGGGTTGGTTGGTTGGTTGGTTTTGGGGTTTTTTTTGTTTCTGTTTTTAGTTTTGGGTTTTTTTGGGGGGGATTCAAGACAGGGTGCAACAGCCCTAGCTGTCCTTGAACTAGCTCCTGTAGACCAGGCTGGCCTTGAACTCACAGAGATCTGCCTGCCTCTGCCTCCCGAGGGCTGAGATTAAAGGTGTGTGCCACCACTACCCGGCCAATATTTATTAGTGTATTTACTAGTATATATGCATAGTACAGGGTGCACAAATGTAAATCCCAAGAGCTTCCCTCAAGGGATGCATACATAACTGGGGAACCAAAGCACTGTTGCATAAAAAGGTAACTAGGACAATCAGAAGAAAGTCAGCCATGGCTAACTTTTATAGCATGTTATATAAAATGTGTGCATATTTTTATTGCTGTTATGGCTATTTTATGAATTACTTTCAACATCAACTTTGCAGGGAAAATTGAATTAAGAGATTAGCTGGGCACTGTTCAATTGCAATAGATCATAGCCTCATGGGACTATTCGAGCCAAAATTAATTAAAGATTAGATTTTTCAGTCCCACTAGCCACATTTCAAGTGCTTAAAAGTGACCTGTATCTAACGGGTACTTATCTGACAGTGTGGCCATAGAACATTTCTATGGTATTAAAACATTCCATTAAAGATTGCTTATTTAACTTCTGAGATTTATGTGTGTGAGAAACCAATCAACGAGGAAAATTCATAAATGCTAAAAAAAATCTCATTGCAAACCATATAGACTGATTTAGATTTCTCTTAATAACTTGAAAAGGAGCCTTGTAACATTCTTCACCATCTCTCTGTCTCTGTCTCTCTCTGTATCCCAGCAATATTGTACTACAACAGCCCCAAACCATCACAGCTTCCCAAAAGGTTCCCCAGCAGCAGCACTGGTATGTCTATGATAAATAAATAGCAATCCTCTGACACCGTGGAGCTCAGGGAGGGTTCATCACACATCAAAAATAAACTTAGTCTGTTTTTCTGAAGGCTTTTCCACTCGATCTTGGCCAAGAGCAAATCCGATTGCATCTGTTTCGGTGCATTCTCACGGAGCCACTAAAAGTTCAAACGTGCCAAATGTGAATGAACCAGAAGACAGAACTGGCCAATCCGATTCATCATGACGTCGTTCATCAGTCACTTACTATGTAAGCTTTGTAATACAAAACTCGTTTCTCTAGAGTTTACCAAGTTCCTTAAACACTTCTAAATATTGTTCCGTGTACTGTGGGACCCTTTACCAACCTACTTCTACATGTGACAGTCGTTTGTGAGAGCAAGGGAAGAGGACAAAAGGAGACCTTCTCCCCAAATTCCGTGCTCTCTGGGCCTTAAATGGACAATTTGGCGCCAGGCTGCTCCATTTTCAGATCTCCATGTTAAAAACAAAATGTTCCAAAATATGCCGTTTTTCATCCTGGCCCTTCCATTCCCAAGCTCTCTTCTCATTCCTAGCCTGCCTTGGGAGGCACTGACCCTGTCTAGGGAGATAGAGCAGAGCAGAAACAAGTGAGGGACTAGACACAGCAGTCTCCTGGGATGCTACCCGAACTCTGTCTTACACTTAGGAAATGGAAACCGAGCTTTGTTCTCGAGCACAGCTTTGATAACTCCTCCAACTCTCCCATCCAACTGCACTATGCTCACACGGAAGGAAGAGCATATGCCTGTTAATTTCTCGTTTGTCATCCCAGCACAGACACCAACCTGTACAGTGAACGGGCCTTCAAAAATGCGCGCTAGTTACCAGCTTGATCTGAACACTGCGCCAAATTGTTCCTATACCTGGTAAATTTCTATCCCATAAAGGCTACAGAGAAGATGCCACTTTGGCCCTGAGAGGCGTCTGAGAACAACCAAATGTAGCCTCTATTAGTGCAGATTTGACCTAGAAAATGAATACCTGATCTTGTCTGAAATTTACCTGATTAAAAAAAAAAATACAACTCCGTTCTGAACTTCTAAATCCAAAGATTACTTGGGAAAGAGCCCCGAGAAATCCATTATTCCTCCTGAAGACTGGAAAAATTTTCCCCATCCTTTGCCCACACCTTAGAAACTTTTTCTCAATATCTTCTCATAGATTCTTTTTAAGACAGACACTTCCACTGTAATCTGTCCCAGAATTCACAGCAGTTATTGGGCATCAGCTACCTGAGTCTGGAATTAAAGGTCCAAGCTACCCCATCTGGGAGACATAACTCCTAGAAGTAAAACATATTCTGTGTGGGGCTAAACTGAGCACATTAAGTTAGGAACACAGCCGGCGCCACCTCTCATTGGGGGTGCAGCATGTGGCTTTCACGGATACAGGCTCCTCAGAAGAAGGAACAATAACAGTTTTTAACAGTCTCGACCTTTCCCTCCCTTCATACACAATTTTGATTGTTATTTTTAAAACCTGCTTTTGAGCATAGCTGAGCCCTGTTGTACCGTCTGTCCTCACCAAGAACATGAAAAGTGATTTTTCACTCTGAACCCTAAGACACTGAATAGGCAAGTTTGAAATCTGCTGGCAGAGACATTTTTGTTTTATTGGCCGATGGTAGGACTGCAGGGACAAATTCTATCTCTAGACATTACTGTCTATAAGAAATAACAGAATGCATTGGGGCTGGTATTTTCTGCAATGCGACACCCGAGCTTCTTCTACTGCTCATATGGGAATCATGATTAATTATGATAAATAAGATGGACAGGGTTCATAATGGATAACAATACTACCAAAGGAAGAAAAGATGCCATCTTAACAAAATGTGTGTGTGTGTTTGGACATTTGTGCATGCCTGTGTGTGTGTGATGTGGGAGTCCTCTCTCTGTTCTGTAATTACCATTAATGAATAAAGAAACTGCTTTGGACCTATAGCGAGGCAGAACTTAGCTAGACAGGGAAAACTAAGCTGAATGCTGGGAGAAAGAAGGGTGGAGTCAGAGAGATGTCATGGAGCCGCTAGAGTCAGACATGCCAAAACTTTGCCGGTAAGCCAGGGTCATGTGGTGATATACAGGTTAATAGAAATAGGTTAAATTAATATAAGAGTTAGCCAATAAGAAGCTAGAGCTAATGGGCCAAGCCGTGATTTAATTAATATAGTTTCTGTGTGATTATTTCAGGTATAAGCTAGCCAGACGACCAGGAACCAATAAGCACTGGCTCCTTTCCAACATATGTGTGTGTGTATTGTGTGTGTGTGTGTGTGTGTGTGTGTGTGTGTGTGTGTGTATGTGTGATATTTACCAGCTGGGCTAGACAAATAGCTTCTGGTTTCATCTTCTCCTGGCCTTTGACTCTTTGACATTGCAGTGTGTTGGGGGTATTCGTTCAGTCCCTAAGCCTGCAGTAGCCGCTCTAGGAAGTTAAGTAACTCTGGTGGTCACCATCTTCTTCAATAGGCTCTAAACACATGTTTCTCTGATGTCGGAACCTGTCGAACCTGAAGGCCCTTAGGGTATATCTTAGTGGTTTCTATGGATGGTTTTCTTTTAAATTGTGTACAAAACAGTGTAGTTACAAGGCAGACTCACTGAGGGAGTTGACATAAAGGTATGCAACATGGATTTCTCAAATTATTGATACTTACTCTATTTACATAAAAACAATTTACCTAGCACTTATACCTACAATATAGTTGCAAACAAAACATGAAAACAGATAAATAATAAGAGAAAAATATGTCTGGCAAGATGGCTCAACAGGTAGTGCACAAATCCAATGACCTGAGTTCAATCCCTAGAAATCACTTAAAGATGGGAGGAGAGAATGAACGTCATAAGGTTGTCCTCCGACTTCCACAAGCCCACCACGGTGCATGCCCACTTCCTACCACTCACATGCGTCCTACACATGTGCACACATGCATGCACACATACAGAGAGCAAATGCAGCCGGTTAAACTTCCCTTCCACTGAGCTCTGCTTGTGGAACAATGCAGAAAAATTAATAAGAGAGGAACGAAATCTGTTAGAGTTAAAATCCAGGCAATAGTTAGTTCATGCTATTGATCCAGTTTTATTGTTTAAATTTAATTTTAAAACAAAACTAAGAATTTCTACTTAAAAGAACTAATCAAATTCAGAAGAACATGCTGTACAGGAATCGGATCTGCACTAAGTAACATATACCCCGCAACTAGCACTGCTTCATTGTTTAGAATCTAAACTCAAAGGGGGCATGAAAAATAGACATAACTCATGTTCTTTACTTCATCTTTAAAATCTCTACACCATACTGTTTATTTTAACCTACTACTTAAGTGCAAGAGTTTCCTAAAGGATTGAAGATATTAACTGTATCAGTAGCAAACTTGAAATATTATGAGCTTGTCCCAGAAAGAGGCATAAGCAACTAAATCATTGTTTTATTGAGAGTCAACTGGATAGATGGGAATTTTCCAAATTAGTATCTGTATAAAATACAATGTTTACTAAAAGACAAGTAATATATGAATATAACACACACACACACACACACACACACACTTGTGGCTGCACATATATTATTGAAACTTGTGTATGCTTAGACCAACAACAGATTTTCTTCAAGGACTATTCCATCACAGAGATGGTTTAGTATTAGCACACATTAGTGATGACAAAGGGCAGGTAACTGGTAATCACTTTTAATGCTGATAATTTCTGTACTGCTACACAGAGAGCTGATCCAGCCTAGAGCTCCAGCCTCCATCTACCACCAGGTTCTACTACTGGATTTTAGGTACTATATAATTGCAGAAAGACAATGTGCATATAGGTTTAAAAATAGATTCCTATTTCAGGTTTTTCCTGGCTTTTCCAATATTTAATTTTTAAAACACACACATACACACACAGACACACACACACACATACACACACACACGAGTGTTTTGCATGCCTGTACGTACACTCACCACATGCATGCTTGATATCTCCAGAAGTCAGAAAAGCATCAGATCCCCTGGAACTGGAGCTACAGATGGTTGTGAGCCACCATGTAGGTGCTGAGAACCAAACCCAGGTCCTCTGCAAAAGTGTCCAGTGCTCTGGGGCTCAGCCATCTCGAGCCCCCCTCCGCTAGCTTTTGGACTGTTCATTCAAACACAAATGTACAGAATCATGGTGGACACTTGATCTGATTTTTTATAAAATGCTTTTAGCTTGAAACTTAACTAATTTTCTGCAATAACTTTGAGTATTCCATTCACCCCAGAAATTCTCTGATGGATTTTGGAACCTGCTCATGTTCATAATGGTCGTTTTGGGGGTGGCTAAAAGTTCTTTAATATCTGCAGAAATGCCTGAACTTTTTGCTCATTTTGCTAATGGCTCTGACTCTGAAATTCCAAATTTGGGCTAGTTTTAATCTCATTTGTGGAATGTATTTAGAACATGACAATGCTGTCACATTAGCTGTTCCAACGCCTTTCTCTGATATGTTCACACCCCATTGGTGATGCTAATTAGACGTAAATCTGATCTGAGAAAGAATAAAAACAAGCTTGAGTCTCTACCTGAGACTTTCTTTGCAGCTAACAAGCCAACACGCTCACCAGTTGAGAAACTGTCACGTGTTGGGATTCTAGGATCACAAGACAGCCCGCGTTTCACCTTTGGAACCTGAAGTGGCTCTGCAGCAGCTGGGCCAAACACACCTGTGCTTCCCATGCCTGTGCACCTGCGGACTAAGACCTCTGCATTGTGCCGTGGTGACCGACAAACTTCTTTACCATAATATTTCAACCTATCCAGTCCCCACAGTGATGAAAATGTCCTCGTCTTAATCCGCCCTACCTATACATAAACAGCGACATCCTGGAACCAGCTCCTATCAGCTGTCAAGGGCTGATGGTTAGGCAGCCTCCCCTCCCAAACTGTGTTTAGTAATATCACACTTGTGACTTAATATCAGCCTGACAAAAATATTTGCAACACAGAAAAGTTCAAGCACTTTAAATGAGGGGGACCTACCCTTTCTTCTTCTACGGGGCCTGTTTTTAAACCGTCCCAGCAAGTGATTGGATACATCTGTTCCTGTTTCCCTTCCACACTTGGCTCTCCCAGCTCAAGGGTGAGTGGAACCTCCAGAACACATATAAAGGAATGATCCAAAAGATACAAGAGCCCACTTAGAGGTTCATGATGGAGACAGAAAAAGAAACAGTGTTCAAGTACTAGAACACACGGTTAATCAGTGTATAATGTAAGAGCAAATGTCCTCTGAACCAAGAGGTCAGCGGCCCAATAAAGTGTTCGCTGAGAACTGAGTAATCAAAGTTGTGGGTAGCTTGAAAGTGAAGGGAAGACAGCAACCATTCCCAACCCTGGGATTATAGGACCAAAGTGGAACATACATAGACAACCACCAGGGCGCTAGACCAGTGTTTCTCAACCTGTGGGACACGGCCCCTTTAGGGGTTCAAACCCTTTCAAAGGGGTCACATATCAGATACTTTGTATAATAGATTTTTACATTATGATTCATATAGTATCAAAATTAGTTATGGAGTAGTAATAAAAATTTTATGGTTGAGGGTCACCACAACATGAGGAACTATATTAAAGGATCGTAGCATTAGGCTGGATGAGAGCCACTTCTCTAGACAGCAAATGTCCAGAAGCATGATACAGAAGCATGAGAAGATGAAGACCCAGACATCTTTCTCTGCCTACACGCCATGGGGCAGCCAATCAGAGAGCAGGGAGTGAGTGCTAGGATGATGTAGGCATTGAGGTCAGCTCTCACAGTACAAAGCCAAGAATACCAGAGGAGACAGACCTGGTCAATACAGCATAGGGAAGCAACCCACCCAGGTTCGCGGTCTCCTTTCCCTCCAGTATGGACTTACCCTATGTGGTCGTAAGTATGGACCTCTATGTGGTTGTCAAAGTAGGTAGGGCTCAACTCACTCACCATGCTTCCACATGCTTTGTTTGATTTAAAGAAAAAAAAAAGCAAAAGATCAGTTTTCAAATGGAGGGATGTGCTGTGGAAGCACATTCTGCTCCTTCAGCCAATAGCCTTTAAGATACCAGCCCACTTGGGCGTGGTCTCATATGCTGTAAAAGCAGCTGTAAACATGCACCCGCCCTTCTTCCTCCCAGCATTCAGTTCTGCCTTCCCTGCCTACCTAAGTTCTGCCCTATCAACAGTATCCCAGAAGCCTAAGATACTAAGCCAATCAGTATATAATTAACGTAGACCTCTGTGTGCGTTCCTTGGGACTTAACAACTGTGGGAACCGGGCAGGACAGAAAACTCAGTCCTCTCTTAAGACTGTCTCCAAATACATTGACATTCTGGGGTGCTGAGGGTTCAACCCAAAAGTGTTGAACACAATTTTCGTGTGAACACAATTCATCTCCCAAGAGCCACTATTCATGCCACTTCGCCCCTGCCGTGTGTCATACCACAGTGACCTCAAAGGAAGGCGCTGTACCCTTGGTCTCCTTTGCTTCACCCCACTCTTAATGTATCATCCCTCGGCTCCTTTCTTCCAGCTCAGCTTTCTATTTTCACATGCGTTAGCCGAATGATCTGATGAATTACAGTTGGAAAGAATTTGATTCTTTCAGCAGGTGGGGCTATTAATCTCCCCAGATGCTGGAGCTTCCTGGAGATAATGCCCGGAGCGAGAAAGGACTAGAATGCAAGAGTTCCAAACATCTTTCGAGCCAGATGTAGGGGAGTCTGAGAGAAGGGGAAGGTTTGTACTCCATCTCGGATGAAGAGGATATGGTAGACAGGTGAAATCACAGGGTCTGGCACCTGGCCAGGTGCATGAAAGGGGAAGCTGATTTCTTGTAAGGTTCCCTCCTGTGCTGAGGCAGCTGCCAAGCCTGCTACTAGCATCACCTAGTGCGTCATCATGGCTCCTGACTTTAAGGGCCTCTGTCTTCATTCAGTCTGAAAGTCTTCCCCTACAGACTTCCAATGTGACTTTATAAAGGAGGTTTAGGGAGAGGAATCTTTTCTTTTGTCATGGTTTTAGAATTGGTGTCCACAAACTAAAGCCTGGGAGGGCAAATTCTGCCCTGTTTGTGGGCATCCTGTAGAATGAATTTTCTTTTCTTTTTTGTTTTCTTTTGTTTTGTTTTTTCAAGACAGGTTTTCACTGTGTAACATTTCTGGCAGTCCTAGAACTAGCTCTGTAGACCAGGCTGTGTTGTAGGAAATCTTACAGCCAGCCAATAGCCTTTAAGTTAATCACCCAGTGGGGTGTGGTCTCTTACGTGATTTATGCCGATGTAAAACACACATCTGCTCTCTTTTCCAGCTGTGGGATTTTCTGTTCTCCGGTCCAGCGAAGAATTCTGATTTGTGTCTACCCCTAAATAAATAGCTGTCTATTATTCTCAATTCTGAGCTAGTGTGGGATTTCTTTTAAGTGTCCATCTTCAAGACTAGCCTCAAACCCCCAAGTGCTGAATTAAAGGCATGTGCCACCACCACCCAGCCTATGAATTTTCAACTATCAAATAGTTGAAAACATTTAAAGGAGGGGTTCGTGACTCATGAACTTGTACCAAACTCACATATTTTATCAAGCAGCACAGTTTAGTGATGCCTAGCCATGGTCATTACCCTCCATAGTGTCTGCGTCTGCTCTCAGTGGCGGGAACACTTCCCAGGAGGACGCATGACCATAAAACCTCATTTCTTCTCTGGCCTTTTACAGAAAAGTCTACCAAGTCAAGTCTAGGTGGACTGGTTCTGTCTACCTCCACCCTCATCTCAGGTGTCCCCCCACCCACCACAGATGCTCCTCAGTATCCTTCCTCAGATGGTCTCAGCAGCATCGCTTCCAAGGTACCAAAATTACCACTGGTTTTGCCTGAAATTTTCTATTCCTGATCCCTACTGGCTGATTTCTTTCTTGCCAGGACTCAGTTCTAATAAGACAAATCTTCCAGAGGTCTTTCTCTGGGGAGTCCCTAAAGCCTGCCCTACATTTGCTATTGAACTCCAGTGGTCTTCCTCCAGTTAAGTACACACAGATAGCATTAGAGTAAATAGCAACTTTTAAGCTGTTGAAAATAAAACAGTTTGTGTGTGTGTGTGTGTGTGAGAGAGAGAGAGAGAGAGAGAGATAAAGAGAGAGAGAGAAAGAGAGATAAAGAGAGAGAAAGAGAGAGAGAGAGAGAAATATTAGCTGTTAGGTTATATGATTATGTGTGTGTGTGTGCTTGTGTGTGAAGGTCAGAGGTCAATGCCAGGTGTTTTCTTCATTTGCTCTTCTCCTTGTTTTTTGAGACAGGATCTCTCTGGACCTAGAGTTCATGGATTCAACTGGGCTCCAGCAATCCTTCTGCCTCCTCCACCTCCTCAGCATTAGAGTTCCAAATGTGCACTACTAACCTCCCCAGCACTAGGATTCCTGGTGTGCACCACCCTCCTCAGCACTAGGATTCCCGGTGTGCACCACCCTCCCCAGCACTAGGATTCCTGGTGTGCACCGCCCTCCCCAGCACTAGGATTCCTGGTGTGCACCACCCACCCCAGCACTAGGATTCCTGGTGTGCACCGCCCTCCGCCGCATTAGGATTCCCGGTGTGCACCACCCTCCCCAGCACTAGGATTCCCGGTGTGCACCACCCTCCCCAGCCCAAGGATTCCCGGTGTGCACCGCCCTGCTCCGTTTTGACTTGGATGCTGGGGTTCCGCTCTCCACGCCTCATGCTGGCACGGAAGTTCTCACGGAATCATCTCCCTCAGCCCCAACTTTAGCTTTTTAACAAAATAAGATCCATAAAATATCTTCTCGATTTAATCTCTAAAAGTGATTGGTGAGTAAATTTTGGAAATTACAGGAGATTATAAAGAAGAAGGAAAAAAATTAGATGACTATAGAAAATCTATCAATGTGTGTGGGGGTTCAACAAAAACGTGCCCTAAGGTAATTCCCGTGTAGCCCAAGCTGGTCTCAAACACATGTCCTCCAGCCTTAGCCTCCCACGAGGGAAAATTGCCATCTTTTAAGCAGAGAAAAAGAGCTCAGCCAACCTCAAGAATTTACTGGAACCTTGGTCTTGGGCTTCTGGCCTCAAGAACCATGAGTGACCGCTTCTGTCTCGCACACATTGTCTCAGCTCTGTTTTGTCACAGCGGCCCAAACAGACTAGGATACAAGGCAGCAGTGAGCACTTCCTCGCTAGGTTTCCTTTAGCGGTGACAAGTTGTGTGCTCTGACATGAGATGACCTGGTGGCCACTCAGAATCTTAGCTGAACAATGTGTGGTGCACAAGCAAAGCTGTGTGGAGAGCGCATTCCCTTTGCACATGGAATGTAGCCCTCGGTTGAACTGTTCTCTTTATTTCTTCTTGAAGGATGCTTCCCCCCACCCTCCATGGGAAGGAGTTTGTCTAAACCAGAAAAAGAAACTCAAAATCATGAGAAAGTTCCAAAGTTTCATCCAACTATAAGTACTCATTATTACTTCAAGTTCCTTCTTAATAATATGTTGCATTATTTGTCGAAAGATAGGAACTGTAAAACAGGGATGAGGTCCGGGGGCATTTGATTTCAGCTTCTTTTCCCAGAAAGACTTTCAAGGGTCATCCCTCTGACTTGTGTTTAATACAGTGGGGACCAAGACTGCTAGAGAAAAATTGAGCATCACTTACCGTTCCTGCCCGTCGGTCCAGCGCAAGATACAAAGCCACTGGCAGAACAAGAATCTAATTCCTTCTCACTGTCTACTTGTTTTCATTTTTAATTCAAGCATCATTCTTATGGACTTTCGGGGACTCCACAGCTCTGAGATGCTCTGTTCAGGGAAAGGTGAATCCAGATAGATGGAACGCTTTGGTCTGGCATGGTCAAATGCCCACCCATCCCCAGGAACAGCTGAGTCAGGAGAGAATGCCAGAGTCTGCTGAATCCTTGTCTGTCTGTACAAAAAATATAGACGGTAGTGAGGCTCTATCTCCAGCTCCTGAGAGGTGTGGGTGACTTACACGGGCTCCGCCACTTGGGAGCTGTTCAGTGATGAAGATGGTAGAGGAAAGCTCCCTTGGGGCTTTTCTAAAGTCCACGTTTCTCCGTGCTTACACTCTGTGTGTCCTCAGTTGCCCTAATGGTCTACATTTGTACAGTTTCCCATCATCACAAGAGCTTCAAATGCAGGAATTGTACACACTGGACCTCATCTATGGTAAACAGAAAACAAAAGCTGGCCTTTTAATCATTGACATTTTATGACTGTGTCATAAAGTGAGGTATGTACTACATTCTAGAGTTAAAGCATTTAGGACACTTAAGGCTTACCTTTCTTAGGCTCCAAGCCATTAGTCTACTGAACTCAGTGCCAGACCTGTCCCGCACACACTCACTCTTCCTTATGTGCACATATACAACCCAAGTATACAATCCACACTTCTGTGTGACTCTGCATTTTCCTAGTTTCCAAAGCAAGTCTGGAGGTCATCATGGTTCCTTCCTCTGCCTCTCCATGGGCCCTTAGCAGCCAGCATCTACAAGCAGACAATCTCTTGAAAACTTTGACATTCACCCTCTTCTCTACCTACGCACTAGTGTTCCACCGAACGACCCCTCCCCCGGGCCTCCACCCTTTCATAAAGGGACAAACCTGTCCTCACATGGTCTTTGGATCCAAGCTCACACAGTGTTTGGCACCTACCAGGACTTCTATGTTGTATATTTTACTACATACTCTTGTTTAATTTACAAGAGCATATGGCTGCCCAGGTATAGTGTGAATAGTTAGCAACCAGTGGAATGCAGATAGGATTCAAATATGCAGCCCTCACAGCATGGTAAAAAGCCAGGAATCTCCCCTGGCAGAATGGATTACATTTCTGAGCTAAGGAATTGCATTTCCAGCAATACATCCTCTCAGATGAGAAGTATCCCTCCAGTTCATACCAGCATCGTTTGCCAAGTCGTGAGATTGTGGGAGAACAGAACACAGCCGAGTTTCATAGGTGTCTGGATCCAGTGAAATGCCTAGCATAAGACACTTCCCACGAGGGAGCCAAGAATGAAGCACGTCAATAAGTGTAACTTAGGCATTTAGACTGCGGCTTTAACACCAGATATAGCACAAGAAATAAAAGCCAGTAATTCCCGTTGGAGGAAGAAATAGGAGAAGCTGTGCTTCTTCTCTGGGCTACGATCCCGTCACTCGGCATTTATTTGGAGCGATGGTTCTTATTCTAGGTGTGAACTTAATAAACCCCTATGTTAGATTTCCTAAAATTTTCTAAAAGTGATTGTGGATGTGTTCCCCACATCCTCCATGTTCCTCCAGAAACGGCATTTTTCCGAGATGTCAGGAGAGGGAACAAAGGCCGCTATGTGGTGTTTGAGGGTGGTTGCCAGGCTTGACACAGGATGCAGAGAAGACTTCTCACAGAGATAAGGTAGCTGCTGGATCCACCCTGTGATTTATCATCTGAGTCAACGCAGGGCAAAGTGAGAACTATTAAAACAATCTACTTGGCCAGAAACCATTCGACTTCTCATTTCAGAGATTGCTCAAAACCAAGTGAACCATCTATTTCTGAAAAACGATGCTGATCATTAAACATTGCTGCAAGTCATTGGGTCTTTCTCTGTGTGTGCCTATGTCTCTCTGTGTGTATCTCTCTCTGTCTCTGTCTCTGTCTCTGTCTCTCTCTCTCTCTCTCTCTCTCTCTCTCTCTCCTCTCTCATATTTCTTGTCTCCCTTCTTCTATTTTCATCCTCCCTTCTCTCCCTTCTCTTCATTGCCTTTCTGCTCACCTAAACTAATCTGCTTTGGCAACTGTCATGGAGTAACTTGGAAATGCTCTCCACAGGCTGCCACTTGAGCAGTTTGCTTCCGAGCTGGTGGCTATTTTGAAGGCTGTGGCCTGATTATGTGAGACAGATTATTAGTAGGTCATGCCCATCCCTTATTCAGGCCCATTCCTTTTGCTCCCTAGGCTACATCCACACGAACTTCCCTCTGCCACACACTCCTCCCATTGTGGACTCCAACATGTTTTCCCCACTATGAGGGACTGAAATTTCTGAAACCGTGAGACAAGATAAAGCCTTCCTCCCTTAGAGTACTTCTGTCATTTCTTCATCAGAGCCAGGGAAACAATGGTACAGGACACTGGTGTCGGAGAGGTGGCGTCACCCCTGTCATAAGCCTGACTGTGTGGTCTGTGGGTTGGATTTGGAAAGCTTTGGAGATTGGAACTAGAGATGTCCCACAATGCGCCAGTCCATGGGCGATTTCGGTCATAGAGCCAAAGACCAGAATGCCAACTGTGCTCCTGGGGTTTCAGGTGGGAACAAAACTTCTCGCGACAGCTGAGCTACAGTTCATTCCGGTTGTATTCTGGCAAAGAATTTGGCTAAGGCTTTCCTGTGTCCTGAAAATCGAAGTGAGGACACATTCGAAAGTAATGGGCTAATTTCTTTGGTGGAGGAAATTCCATCACAGTGTGGGATTCGGGCGGCATGCTCACTGCTCGCTGTCTGATTTATAGCGAGAATAGAGAGCAAAAGGCAAAGCCGAAAAATGTGGAAAACATGTTGTTTGGCAGGGAAATGAGTGTGAACTCAGTTAAAACTGTGTGCAAGGGAGTCATGGCCATGAAAGAGATTAGGACCACAGAAGAGAGTCTGTACTCGCAGTAGGACAATAGCAAAGTCCCTTGAGAATCAGACCCTACCATCAAAGGCTATAGGTATAGAAATAAAAACTCCCTGGGCTCCTCTGGCCCCTCTCTCTTTGGCTGACAGGTGGCCATTCTTTCGCTGCCCCTCACTGTACACACAGCCCTGGCATCTTTCTGTGTTCATCCACCTCCTCTTTATACAGGTACCACAGTCACATTCAATTAAGATCATTCTGACAGCTTCATTTTAACTTCACGTCTCTTTGAGATCCATCACGTGACGATAGACTGGGGTGTAGGGGCTGAAGCTGTAATTCAGCATACTGGGAAGAGGTGATGACATAAATCGGTCTGCAAGACCCCTCCAACCAACTTTCCTCCGTTTCTTTATTTCATTCCAGTTTTTATTTATTCAATAAATACTTGCTGCGTACTTACCATGGGCCAGACACTGCAAAGAAGGATGACAGTAACTCTACAGAATCCATTCTGTACATGCACACACACAGACACACACACACACACACACACACACACACACACCTACCTACAAAAGTCTATGTCGTGACTCCTCTGGCACCTTCTAATATTGAGACTGATACTGGTTCTTGTCACATTACAGTTAGTGAACACATACCTTACGGCCAGGGTAAACACCATGACAGTCTGGGGCATTGGAGACAGAAGACAGCAGTTAGACCCTGGCTTTGCTTTTGGTGTTTTTCATGCCTTCAATAAGGGAGTCTTACTTGGAGAAAATGGGAGAAAGAACAACAGATACCTGCTCGTACCCT